AATTTACACAAACTAATGTTAATTCTGCTCAACTCTTGATGCTAATATAACATGGGGATTCTCACAGACATGCTGGTGGAAAGTAACACATGATGTACACCATGTGAACAGTAAAAGTAAGCATCTCTTCGGTTTTATGTCACTGTCATTGTCCAAAGCCAACAACACCATTACCGAGGTTACTCTTCTGCAGTAGAAAAACGAAACAAGCTGGAATCGTGCTGTATCTAAGGTCTCTTCGTGGTTTGGGTCAGCTATATATATGGTTCCTGTATGTCAGTGGAAAAGTGCCAGTAGTGGATGCATACTGTCCTGGTTAGTGCTGCTTGATTTGCTACTCCCAGGGCCTTCTGTTGTGAGTTTTTTTAAAAATACATTTTCAGATGTCTGTTTTGTTTGTTAATAGCTAGATAAACTAAGCCAGCTATCTTCTTGAAATACTGTGGGAAAGTTGCCAACTTGGAGTCAACCATACACACAACGCAACCCAACAAGCTTACGCTATGTTAATTACATCACGCTTACCTAGACAATCAAGCAGATTTGTGAGGATTTGAAATTATAGGTGTCACATCTGAGGAAGTGAGGAGGAGTAAAAAAAAAAAAACCCATATGAAACTGTCTGAGGAGGAGGTCTTTATTCCAGGAATGCAAGAGTTAATAAGGTATGCTATCCAAATGGGTGCAGGACAGGACCGAGGGAGACTGTGCCCCCCCAGAGGCATGCGCTCGGGGCACAGGGGGTACTGCCAAGATGGGACTGAACACATGAGATGAGGGACCAGAGACAGTCCATACCAAATAGACAGGACAACAGGCCAGGGACACCAGACTATAAGAAAACTATGGGAACCGGAAAAGACTGGACCAACCACAAAGGAAAAAGGACGGACCAGTGGAACAGCAAGCACCTGAGCAACATAGATAAAACTGGGACAAGCAACAACAGGGAAGACAGACTCGGGTAGAAGACACAGAGTGGGATCAGGACATGAGACATGGAGACAGAAGCAAAGGGCTTGGATTGGGAAAAGACAGGGAAACAAATGGACTCTGGGGCCAGAACTTGGGCATGACACTGGCAAGCGGAGAGTGGTTCAGGTGTGTCCAGAGCCTTGTAGAGCTGATCGAAGACTGGGGTTAATGGCCAGGCCAGGCTTGGTTAATAGGGTGGACTGGAACGGCTTGATGTCTGGGTGCACTGAGATGACCATGGATGGGTTAGAGGAATGAGTGGCACTGGACCGCCGGACATCCTGACAATGTAAGCGGGGTTTGTGACCCGGCAGCTCCACCGGGAGATGGAGGTCCTTCCCATTCTTGTCTAGAATCGATCTTGGGGTGGTTGAATGCCTGGAGCCCGGGAAGCTTGACAGCCCTGTTTTTCCATGCCATCTGGTAAATGGGGATGCAGGACCAGAGGCAGCAGGTCCAGAGAAGTGCCCAGAGGCCCACTCTAGATCCTCCAGTGGAGCTTCCTCCAGCCCACCCCCCACTGTGAAGGTCATGCAGTCAGGAACCGGCAGAGCAGCTGGGGCTTCAACCGCAGGTGAGACAGCCGGTGCTTCAGGGGCAAGTGAGGTGGCTGGTGCACCTGAGAAAACAGGTAGAAGGTACCGAAGGGATGGCATGAAGTGCCGATAGGATGGCAGGAGGATCCCAACGAGACTTCAAGCAAGACAGAGGGCACCAAAGCAAGGTCAGGCGAAACAGGGCAGCAATGGGAGGCCAGGAAAGGCTGTTGAGGAGGACGCTGACATAACGGCAGATGAGTGGGTCATTAGAAGGTGCTGGTGGCTTCTCCAGGGCTGAGTGCAGGAGATGCATCGCCTCCTGGCTGCAGGCCTGCAGTGCGGGGAGCAGCTGTGAGCTACGGGGAACCGGTAGGCTGATCGGTGGCCAGCTACAGGATAGCAGCAGGTGAAACAGCAATGAGCTTTGGGAAGCCAGCAGACTGAGTGGTGGCAAACTATGGGACAGCAGTGGGTGAAACAGACCACTTGGACATGAGGTTGGCCTTGGGCAAGTTAGACACTGACTGGCTCTGCAGTTCCGTTCAATGTTTCTGCCAGTGCTTGCTGCAAGAGTCGGCGGGAGGACGGGAGGATCTGCTGCAGGACAACTGCGGACTGAGCAGCATCTCACTATGGAGAAGTGGCAGGCTTAGCGGCTGTTCACTGCAGGCTTAGCGGCTTTTCACTGCAGGCTTAGCGGCTTTTCACTGCAGGAATGCAGTGTATTGATCTGCTGTGAACTGCGAGAAGTGGACAGGCTGAACAACGGGGAATGCGGGCTGCTCTTGGAAAGAAGCTCAGCCAGCCTTAAGCAGCTGCTGCACCTCTCCCAAAATGTGTCAGGCCTTCTCCGCCTCTGGGGGATGCGTGTCCAGGTTGAGTTCCACCAGCAGTTTACCAAAGTGAAGGAGAAGTGCTGCGCTTCGGGGGTCCTCCACAGTGCGGGATGGGGCCAAGGGGTCAAGAAAACCCCTGAAGGGGACTTTATTCCAGGAGTGCAAGGGTTAACAAGGTCCTTGTGTGAATCTACCATGGGGGGGTGGATTATAATGCCAGGGAGGGGGACACAGAGACTGGCAATGTCACACAAACAAACAAGCAAACACAAACACACACCACACACCACACACACACTAAGTGTGAGTGTGAGATCTTACTGTATATTAGGACTTGGGTTAAATAGACACAGGTGAGGATTGTAATCACTACCAATGAGGGCTACATGAAGGACAGGTGTGAGTTTACTCCTTATGTAGTTTTTATACATGAGGTCCCTGATCTCAGAATCTGTGGCTTATTTTGAAAATAAATTATCATAAATGCCATCCAATATGCTTGAAATACATGGAGCAAATTCCCTGAAAACAAGTGTGTCATGTTTGGAGCAAATACTGTACCTCCGAAAGTTGTTTGAGTGCAGGGATGGCAAGGTGGCTTCCTGAGTAAGGAAGTGGGTTTGTGTAGGTGGTATGGGGCATTTGGTGTCCGGGCTTTAGCCTCAAGCTCTGTTAACCTTGGGTAATGAAAGCTGCAAAATATCTTTGGACATATTATTTTCAATAATTTTGCAGGTTACTGTAAATGTCGTAAGTCTTTGTGTAAAAGTAAAACTTGAAGCCCTCCCCCTCGAAATTTGCTTGCTAACAATCAGGCATATAAGCAGTTACTGAAATGACAAGTTTGAAACCCTTATGAAATTTGCTTCCGCTCCCTGTCAGTGAAACTACCAAGGGGGACACACCCTGGATGGGGAAATCCAGCGAGGGCCCCCCCCCCTCCCACCAACTACAGGCCTGGGTGTCAGTAGTGTATCGTAGAGGTTACATTGAGGCAATTATTACTGAATGTTTACATTCTGTACAGATACGTTTTGTTACATTACATCTCTATACAGTGAATACAGTTTGTCTTGATTGATTTGGAGAATTTGTCAAATGACAATTAACATTTGCAAAAGAACGTGTAATCCCCACACCACAATGTCACTTCTGCACAGCAGAATCATTCTGAATTGTGGAGCTCATGAGCACACTTACACTGACACACTTACACTGACACACTTACACTGACATACTTACACCGACATACTGAGGATATATCTAAGCATTTTGGCTCTCATGGTTAAAATGGTGCAGATTGTTCTTTTCATTTTGGTGGAAGTGACTAATTCATTGGTAGAATTACTTGCTTTTGAAGCATGAGTTAATTGTTTTGGGTAAGTTTTTGGGTAATGTAACCTCTACGATACACTTCTGACACCCAGGCCTGTAGTTGTTGGGAGGGGGGGGCCCTCGCTGGATTTCGCAATCCAGGGCGTGTCCCCCTTGGTAGTTTCACTGACAGGGAGCGGAAGCAAATTTCATAGGGGTTTTGCTTTTGCAGCTAAACCATACTGTTGTGCTGTGTGCATGAACTGTTTTGAGAAATGCTCTGATCGTCCAGAGAATGACAAGCATGTTTCAAGAAATGCGCCAAAGCAGTTGAGAAAAAAAGCTGAAGGGCCTGCTGAAGACACCATGCCTGTTGCGAGGTCGATGGGGGCCTTAGTGACCATAAAAAGTTTCTGCAGTGGGGGGGGGGGGGGGAATGCGAAGCATGCTGCTAAGACATCTAAGACATGGCTCTGCTAATACAGTGAAACCACAAGCCCACACAGAAACACTCACGCTCTCACAGTAACTTCCTGTGTAAAACTTTAAAGTCAGGCATTGCTATGGCCACGACTATGTTTCCAGTCACTATTGTATTGGAAATGGGCTGCTGCTCCTGGGGAGGGTGGGGGTTGGCTGTGGTTTTCCTTCCCCCTACTTGTCTTTGGTTCCTCTCCTCCATTCTACCATGGGGACCTTCTGACACGCTTTTCTTCCTTCTTTCTGTCTTCCCCTTTTCAGTGTTGCATATACAACTCAGTATTGATTTGAATTGTATTTATCAATATAATTGTATGTGACCATTGTCTTATCTTAGCTGTGTCTGTACCTACTGCATGTATGTGAGCACTGGCAACTGGAGACAAATTTCTTGTGCATGTAAAGATACTTTGCTAAATAAACCTCATTCCGATTCTGCGATCAGCAAGTCATTGGCTCAAATCCCGAGGATGGCAGGGTGATTTCATCATTTATAGGGCATATCTGCCATCACTGAGCCCTTGAGCAAAGCCAGGGATTGTCTGGTCTGGCTTTCTTATACTGTAGGTTTGTCATGCTAAGAGAGTCAAGTAGCATAATTCCTGTCAACCTATCAAATAAATAACACTAAAATCAAGAGAATACAAAATCATTGAGAAAACAAAAACTTGGTTATTGTTTTCTTCTTATTATTTTTCTTTTTTGCATTTTCTTAAATGTGTTTTGAACTTCAGGGCCAACGTAGTGCAGCTTTGATTTCCTGCACTAGTCATTTTTCAGAATTATATCCAGTCACTGTTTAAAGATCTACTGTCTCATGTTGCTCAACTTCCTTCAGACGTTTTACTTCCTCAGTTGTCTGCACTTTGTGCTGTAGTTGTTCAGCTTTTCAGGTTTATTTTTATGCATTGCTGTGTATTACTGTGCATTATTTTGCTTTACCCCAAACCATTTAAAAAAATAGTCTTCCTTGCATGGTATTTATAGATCAGTAACTATGAGCTTTTGACCAAAAGACCAAGGGAAGTGGCTCTTCTGATGCTGATCATGAGAAGCCACACCTAGCGGAGACAGAGCTGAGCGTAGAAAACTGTGTAAAGTCCAGTGACATGCAAACATGCTCTGGATAAGGACTCTCCTATTCATAATCATATGTGGTAAGTTTTCTGGGCAACTTCCACATTGTGCACAGATTGCCCGTATTCTGAACTGTATTAGCAACTTCTGCTTGTTGATCGTACTGTATATTGTGTGACATATTCGGTAGCTGCTGTTGTTCTACAGGGACAAATTAAGCATCTGCATTAGGCCAAGTTAGCTAATGTTGTATTTTGAGTGCATCTACAGGTAGAATCAATTTCATAATAAGGAAACAAATGTATGTAGTATATAGAACATTTACCAAGATGTAGCAAAGAGCTTGGGAAATCCTTTGTGCATAAACATACACGTTTAATTTACTTGTTTCTTTTAAGCAAATGGTGCCAATAACAGTTACTCCCCATAAAAAGCAGTCTTGGCTTTGTCATTGTATTCCTGTGCCTGTGTTCAATGTTGTTGAGTAATTACAGATTTTTAGGTACTTACAGTTAGCAACTAATCAGAAAACTATATTAGACAGTTTTTATGAGCAACAAATAAGTAAAACAAAAAACACTTCTTAATTTCATGTCCACTAAATGGTGTTGTTAGGTGTTGTTATATGTACATTACTCTATGATTTAAAAGAAGAGCTATCTGGCGAGTTTTGCTATCGTTTTCCTTTGTAGTGTGGTGGGATATGGGACTGGTCTGAGGTGAAGTGGAGCACAGGCTTATGTGCAGGAGGCCTTATTATACTACAAAATACAAGGAGGACTGTTCACTTAGGGAAGTGCTCTAGATCAAGGCAGGTATCTTGGAGACTGTGCTTTGTCCATGTAGTGGACCACTAGCTTCATAATGGGATAGGTTTGTAGCAACAACCATCTTCAGTGGTATCTGACTCAGGGTGAGTCCTCATAGGTAGTAGTCTCATTTAATCCTGCTCACCTCTCCTCATGGCGTCACTTTGAAGTGCAGGTTGAGGGCCTGAAGGCACCTGCAATTGGGAAGCTTTATTATCCAATGGCTGTGAGCAATGCAGTTGCTAGACAACGATGCCAAGAATCACTGTTTGATGGCACTGACATGCCAGTGGCCATGCTGGTAGGTAGGGCTGCACGATATCATCTCGCAATATAATCGCAGATTAGTAGTACACATAAACTATTAATGAGAGGCATATTTTGACGCCCAAAAGTTAGTAATCTGTATAAATTCAGTGTATCCTTATGTTTATTACAATTTCTCAGGTGCTTGACTACATTCTCTAACCAGCCAATACAACTTGCATAACAGTAAAAAATCTGGCAAAACTCCCTATCTCAATCAAAACAATACATACATGCTACAAAATGCTATAACTTCTAAGGTCACATCAGTCAACAGTAAACACATACAATCAGGGAACATTCTCAGGAAAAACACTCATTAACTGCAGTAAAATCTGTACACACACAGAGGGACCAATAAAGTAACAAGAATAAGAAAAGACATCTTCACTGTAGGTACAGAAGTTTTACTGGCTTTATATAGTGTAGTGAAATACTATATTATGCATGCAAACAAATACTGAAAAACCAAAAATACTTTAATGCAAAAAATTAAAATATATGGCATTTGCGTTAGTCTGCCTGATCTCTCAGCTCTCTGGGCCACATTTGTTCATCAACATCACAGTCTATAATTTCTATAATTTCCCTGACAATGCAGCGGGGGAAAAGTCTCCGAGCATGTCTGATCCAGCCCTGGAAGTCTGATGCTGAGGTTGACATACATGCCTCCATTGTGGCTCCTAAAAGTGACACTTCCTCATAGGGACGGTGATCATACACTTTCCATCGCCAGGCCGAAAATAATTCCTTAATTGGATTGAGAAATAGGGAATAAGGAGGTAGATATTCTATTGACATATTTGGATGAGCCCTAAACCAGTCTGTTACTATGGCTGTGTGACGGAATGGAACATTGTCCATATCACTGCATAATGTTGGACAGTGACCCTAGAAAGCTCTCTCCCTTCAGACACCAGTACTAGTCTGTGAAGCTTAAAGAAATATTATCTTTACTGTACTACTGTATATATAAATATGATTACTGTGTGTATTGTAGCCTACATATGCAAACACAGCAAGGTAGTGTTTTTGTACATGCAGATATTCCTGCCTGAATGTTTGAATAATTGATGTTAGCCATGGTCTGGAAATCTTTGGCTGCATCCTAAGGCCAGACTCATGCATATAGACCATGATTAGTCACATGGTCTACAATAGTGGCTCTAATTTCATGACTGACCACTGTTCTCAGTCTTCTTTGTTCTCGTCCACCTCTTCTTCTTCTTCTTCTTCTTCCTCTTAATTCTTCCTCCTCCTCCTCCTCTCGCACATCCTCTCCGGCCTTGTTCCATTCTGTTTTGATCCATTTTGTGTTTAAGATGGATCTGCATGACCATTTTTACTGTGTTCAGCTGTTTAGAGGCTGATGTGCTGGAAGTTGTTAACCAGTTGCAGGTTTGGCCCAATTCAGGAACTGTTTTGGAACAGGGTGGTAGCAGCTGCTACCATTTGGTCCTGATTAGCTAGATGAGAAACTCCCTTATGATTTTGTTGTTACCAGATGATCACTGTGACTAGTGTTTTGCAAAAAGTCCTTCAGCAATGAATAAATATGAGCAAGCAATGTTAACGCAATGTTAAGGTGTTTGCTGTTTTGCTCATACTCGTTTGAAATTGACAACATGCACTAATGTCAATGTAATTAAGTACCTGAGAAAAAAATGTAATAGAACTACTTTCTTCCACTATTAAACATTTTGCTTAAATGAGACCAAAGCTACCATCGTTTATTTGAAAAATTTCCATTGCTAAGCCCATAATCTTGTTTTTAGTTTGAAATTGTCCATTTAATTCCCTTACCTGTGACAATAAAGATAAGGTCAAGAGAGTTTGGGATAAAGTATACATGAACAGTTATCACTGAGATATTTGTGAATGATCTCATGCATTTTCAGCTCATAATCATTAGAATAATGTCTTTGAGTGCAAATGAACGTTTAAGCCAAATGTGTAGTGATAGTGGTATAAGCTGGTATAAGGTGGTTCTTTGCTTTTGCATCCATGTGTTTGAAAACATACAATGCTCAGTTTGTTGAGCATTAACCATTAGAGATTATAATAGCTCATTATTTTATTACTTTAAATTTCTGATTTGCCTAGCTGGCACTCTGCATGTTGTTATTGAAGTTAATCAGCACTCTTCTGATCAGTCAGATTTGACAATTCAACCTTGCATTTGTCATGGGTGTGGTTTGGGGCTGTACTGGACTTAGTTGTATAACATTTAAAAGAAAACAGGAAAAAATGTTCCTAACAAGAAAAAAATGTTCCCAAATAAATCTTCCTTTAAGTTTATTTGTGTTTTTATAATATTTTTACATGTATACTTTTTGGAAAAAGTTCAACCACAGACCGACCTGGAACCATATATGGTAACTTTACTGAACTTGATTTTCAACATGCACATGAAAAAATTTGAAAAAAAGTGACAATAGTAAAAAACGTCTTGTAATATCCTCTAATAACACTCTAGGGCTGAAAATTTCCAAGTTCAGCTGAAATCACTTATAGTGAGCATAGTTATAGTGATCAACTGCTTATATGGGTCATTCCTGTACAAATACTGTTTAAATAATTTGTTTATAGTAATCAAGTAGTCCGCTTTCAGTGTTCATTTTGGGTTTACTTTACACATGACAACATATAGAAAAAAATAAAACTACGGTATTTTTATTTATTTATTTTTTTACTTTACTTTGATAGCCCTACTTTGCCTTGTGGTAACCCATCTGCTTCTGGCTAGCTACTAATGCTAGCCACAAGGCTAATGCTACGTACACGGAAAACATTACAGGAAAAAGAAAGTCATCCTTTCTCACTGACAAATATAGACTCATAATATATAGACTCATAATATAAGCTACTCAAATATAGCTTATGATGAACTGCCAAAAATTAGCCAACAAGATGCAGCAACGAAATTACAATATGCTATATATTATGCACAGTACCATACTGTATTATAGCATATTTGAATTATACACAGTTCAGTAATTTGTTTGTATAGTACTGTAAGTGGAAAAGTGTTTGACACAGCTGTAATGTATTTTGAAAGAGTCAATAAAATTCAGTGACGTTGTCCATTTTATTATGTTATATTCATGTAATAAATATACAAATGTCAATTAGATGGTAATCTGCTTGAGACATAAAGAAAAAGGGAAAAAAATGGATATTACGATCATCTGCATATAGTAATCACTATATGTGGTTTCCACTGTAGTGCCCTATAAAGGGTTAATTACCATTTTAGCTTTATAATCGTTGTACTGGGTGGACCAAGGCACCCCACGAGCACACAGAGACTCGCTTGCCGAGGAGAACATGCTCTTTATTGGTAGTCCTGAAAAGGACTACATAAGTGGCTTGTACTATGAAGCGGGGTTACTGGCTTATCGGGGTAACTTGTCGGATTTAAGGTACCACAGTTTAAATGGACTTCATATTCACTTACATTTTGGCCAGACTACCCTAAATCCGACAAGTTACCCCGATAAACCAGTAACCCCGCTTCGTAGTACAGGCCCCAAGCACCCAACAAGCACCGAACCACTTAGACACAGGAAGCACAAGGTTGTCAGACACTGAACTGTAAGATGCACACACAAGCTAAATAAACACAGGGGTCGGACCGGGTACGCACAAGACACGGGCAAACACACATGCAACAATAAGGAAATGCAACCATTAACAATAACGACGACAATACAACAAGGGCTATTTTTAACTGCATGCGGGGCATGCTGGGATATGCACCCTGCTGGTGCTACACTGCCCCCTCCTCAGAGGTCAACTGTCCCGGCGACCACCACCCCCAGTCCCCACCTCAGTTTCGATGTGAGTCCCAGGGCTCCGCTGGCAGCCACTGGTGCATCGCCTCCAATGACAGGGCAGGTTGCTCCCCGCTCTGGCTTAGCTAGCTGCTGGCCGGAGCTGGCATGTCGGATCCCTGTTGGCGCCAA